TCCCTTTGTGATCTCCTTAGCAGAAAGGATGACGCAAGTAGCAGCCAGCAGGAGAAGAGGATCTAGCAACCCCCAAGCCAAGCACCCCTCTGTCCACCGTAAGCATCAAAGACAATCACAGAACCGAAGTGACCCTGCCAGAGGCAAGAACTAAACTGAGAGCATCAGCGTCCCCTTCCCTCCTACACAAAGGCATGCGTAGGCACCTAGGGCCTAAGTGCGTCCACGGACAGATAGACATAGTCACAACCGTAATTCCTTAAGATGTCCCAGGTACCCCAAAACCTGCCCGCACCACTGGGGCCTCTGCGGGAGCGTGATGCATAGCATCCTTCATCCCCGGCTGGTGTACAAGTTAACAGATGAAGGAACCAGAACATTCTCTCTCTCCCTTGCCTCCTGGACCTCCCAGTGTAGCAGCCTCCACATTTCAAAGCCACAATAGGCAGGAGAGACACCAGCAAGAGGGGTGCTACAGTCTCACATGCATCCTGTCACCTTTGCCATATTCTTCAGGCTAGGAGCAAACCACACAAGACACCCACACTCACGGGGGGGGGGGGGGGGGGACCAAGAGTGGCCCAAAGACCTGTGTGTGTCCCAGTGGTGCCCAGATGGGGGCCACTGGAATCCCGAGAGCTTAACAGATCAGGTGCAGAACCTAATCCCACATCTGCTAACTCAGGGTTTCCAGAAGTAAGTCCAAGGTTTTTTGTTACACCAAGTTCTTTAGGGAAGTTTGGTAACCAGCCAAGTCTGGAAACTACCATTATACACGTTTTCAAAAAAATTATTGCACTTTTTTCCAGTCTCCAACCTGAATTCCCTAGAGTTGAGATAGACACTTGCCAATCTAAGTACCTGTCCAGTGAGTCTAATGACTCTCCTGTTGTGTAAGGATGGCATTAAATTAATCCTATTAAACTAACGGGCACTAGCGGGCGGTCCAGAAGTGCCCAGCATCAGCCAGTAATGCCCACCTCCTGTTGTGACAGCGAAACCCACCTCCAGACCTCGTCAAATGTCAACAAGGTCAAGATCACCCCCAAATGAGAACCACTACGCTATCTCTAGCGTTTCTCAGAAGCCCAGAAAATACATGGCAGGGGTTGGAAAACAAACCGCTGGGTAGGATCAAGCAAACGTCCCTGAGGTGCTGCCCTGCCGGTGTGCCTCTCCTCCCCTCCAGCTGAGCGCGTGAGTCCTGCCCTCACGGTTTGTGCTGCATTCGGTTCCTCTCCAGGGACCCCCTCCCGCCCCCAACGCAGAGAGTGAGGAGGGGGCTGACGGTCGTTTCTTCGGCCCCACTCACATCCAGCTGGGGTGCACGGGAATGCCCGACCTGACCGCCTCACACAGCCCTCCCCACAGTTACATAGGTTCAGGTAAGGGATACGATTCGAGCCAAAATGAAACTATAATAGACAGATGGGAATTTCAATTTTTATTGATAGACCAAGATTTCCTATAAATACATAACAAGGTACAATGAACAAGAACAGCATTCTAACATTTAAAACTTAAGCTTTCAGAATCACCTTGATCAATATATAAAGCTTTAGTTTCTAGGAAAAATGGGTTTTTTTTCAACATTATTCTTCTCATATGTACAAGTTTCTCAAAATGAGGGATTTTTGAATACAATTTTATAAAGCTTCCTGTGTACAGGAGAAAGTGCCCCTCCACAGCAACTGCACCCCACTGACACCCCACAATAGAAAGGCTTGCAGGACCAGGTATTAGAGGAAAATCCTGACGCTCTACAAACGGGCACGGAGCGCCCCTCTACCACTGCACCAATACGCTGGCAGAAGGGTGGCAAAGCGTGGCCTCAGGGCAGCATGAGACTTCTTCTTAACTATGTACAGCCACACATACATCGATGTCATCCCTACGGCACATGCACACACACCAATGTGTAAGGAACCAATGTGAAAACTTAGGAACAATCAGGAAATGTGTCTTTTTCTGCGTCACAATAAATGAAAAGGACATTTTATGGGATAATGCACTCTTTCATGAGGGCCAGGATAACACGACTCACTGGGCTGGGATTAATTTTGAAACAAGCCTACTCTGATATATGCTTTATTTAAAATTTATATTTACTTCTTAGTTTTCTGAAGAAAGTGGTGTGACAGTCCTCCTTTCAAAGTAGTGATAAAAATAATGGCACCTCAAATTTCTCCCACTGTAATTTAAGATATTTAATATTAACATAAATATCATTTGAATGCATGATAGGAAATTTTTAAGTTCTTAAAAGCTATGCCTTCCTGAAACTTGAAAATGGAAAATAAAGAATATACTGTTCTAGCAGAAGCCTCTTCTGCACATAAAAGGCTCTGAAGCTCATCCAGGGGTGAGCCCCTTACTCTGAGCAGCTGAGATTTACACTGTGCAGGAAAACAATGAACCTGAGAGTACCTGATGGCACCCGGACCCGTGGCAGCCTTGCCCACCTCCAAATAAGTACTGGCTGCACTATAAGAAACCTTGTCAAGGAGGTATTTACAACTTATTTTTATAGAAAGCAGTCCTAAACTTCAATAAAGCAAATTAGAAAAGGTGAGGCTATTGCAAAGAACTCCAGGTTATATGTCAGTAGGTTAATGAGATGGCTTCTTTAAGAAATGATGAAGAAAGATCATAGCTCCGTTTTTTAAAAAAATATCATAGGACAGCCAGATATGTTGAATAAAATAACTGAATTATGTTAAAATAAAGATCATTGGTATTATATTGCCAGACTCTCTTTAACTATGTGTAACATAAACAGAAATTAGGGCTAAATATAACTTATAAAAAAATACTCAGGCTCAAAAGAATGGGAGCAGGAAGAAACATGCTATCAACCCTTCTGAGAAGTCCACACGCAGGGTACGGTGCTGTACACGCACGTGACAAATTGTTAGGTGACAGGTGTATATCTGGCTTTCATATTGGTACAGTACCCCTGAGAGTATAATACAACCAAAATACTTAACCTCAGATACTATTGTTATAATATTTTGAAAAACAAAAGTATCATAGAACAGTACAATAAAAGGACGTATTTCACTGACCAGCCATATGTTAACCAAACTCGGGGAAAGAGAGAACGGATTGCCGGCTCCCTTAATTTCTTTTTTGGAACAGTAACGGAAGGTAGCCAGACAGTGAAGCCACATACATAAGCGTGGTTCTGTCCTTGAATTGTCTGGCTCCTCATCAGTCCCGACATTCAGTCACTGGAGCCTTTGGCCAGAACCCAGAAGTACATACGTACACATGCTAGTGTCTTGTAAGTTTCCCAGTCAGTGGAGAGAAGGGGGAAGTCTGACTGGCTCCCATCAGGAAATGAAATAGATGGAGTTCCAAATGCAAGAGTTTGTGCACAAGCCAAAGTAAAGGTAAAAGGAGTGTTTTCCATATTATTTTCCACAGCATAGGAAGAAAACAATCTGTACTATTATTACTATTGCATGTCCTCCCTTCTCCAAACGCCTGTGGCTTTTTAATCACTTTTCATCCAGACCCACTTCCTGGAGCAGAGCCAGGCCCCCGAGAAGGCCGGAGGAAGGAGGGGAGACGCCAAGCTGGGGCCACCGCCCCCCCGGGCCGCGAGGCAGGGCTCACTGGCCTTGCTGTGCCGCCTCCTCATTTTTAGGACATTTATAGTAAGAGCAGGTGCATTACAAGATGAGTTATGAAACAACTTAACCTGAAAATCTGAAACACTTCACAAAAAAGTATGAGTTCTAGTTTTTAAAGGAGAAAATACGGTCTAAAGGAGATACAAGCTGCCTTCCAATGCATGAGCCTCCTCTCCTCATGTTTCCTCATAAACTGCATGAGTTCAGTATAGGTCATCCACTTAGCATTTAAGGCACATGGTCAGTCTAAGGGCCACTGGGCAGGGCAGGACAGGGGGCACCCTGTGCCGACACCCCCAACTTCACTGGGACACACCGTCACCCCTGAAGGCGTCAGGTACACAGGCCGAAAACGCCACATAGGAAGGTCCAAACATAACAAGTGCCTTTTTTAAGATTCAACGTTTCAAAGGTATTACAGAATTAAGAACTTTTTCCCACTCTAAAGTAAATATAAGAAGATTATTTATTTGGTATTTAACTTCTCTCTCACCACAAGCCACTCTCCGAGGACCTACTTTCTACACATAGGCTTCCAGCTTTAAAGCAATAACGCCGGTAACGCCTCTCGCAGTGTGCAAATACCCCTAAGAACACAGGAGCCCCGCTCCCCTGTATTAAAGCTCACTAAAACAAAAGCATTTAAAATTAGCTTTAAAAGCCACATCTGCATGCTTTATTTGATGGATTTATGGACCATCGTAATGCAGACCCCTTGGGGCCCACGGTCAACCCTCCCCTGCCCCCTGGTGGGAGGCGCCTTGAAGCTGAGGAGCAAAATCAAACCCTTTCTTAGATGTAGTAAGAGATCTTTAATTTACTTTGGATATATCTAAACTATTTCAAGATATTTAGAAAAGAAAGAAGGAAGAAGGGAAGGAAAGTAAGAAAGAAGGAAGAGAAACGGGAGAGAGAGGAGGAGGGAAGGAATTTTTCTTTAAAATTTTCACCCAAATAAATGAAAATTGTCCTTAGGAATGCAGGACTTAGGAATGTCCTTAGGAATGTCCATGTTCCAGGTGCTCAAAATTCAGGAATTTTCTTACAGAGTCACAGCAAGCATTGGATGCCAGCAGGCAGCTGGCAGTCCGACCTCAGACCCCCGGGCCCGGAGGAGCTTCCACAGGACCCTGGGCAAAAAAACCTCACCCCCATATTCTAAAAAGAAAGAAGAAATACCCAGTGAAGAAGGCGATCCTGAGACCACAGGGGCGAGGCGATGTGGAAGCGAACGGAACAAGCCCCTCGTTCTGGGGTCTCTCCCAGGTCCCGGAAAGCTGTCCTCAGCAAACCCCGCACGGGACCCAACAGTGCTTTAAAGAACCTCCGCTCATTTCCTTTAGCGAATGAAAAGAATAACGAATCTAAAATAACACATTTATTTCAGAGAAAACAATGCCTCCAAAAAAACATCGTAAACAATTTTAAGAAACAAAGATGTACAACTGCGAAATTTTGTCCCACACAGAAGACATCTATGCATCCATCACACTAGATCCCGCTGTACACCACCATCCTCCCAACCCCACAAAAGGAAAACAAATTGTTTTAAATAGAAGCAATATTTGGTTATGAAAAGGAGAAGGCCACATATGGCTTGTGGAAATGTGTTACATGGAGTCCTGAAAAAAAACCATCACAGCCAGTGCTGCAAAGAGAACAGAAGCATGAAACAGAGAACGAAAATGGCCGAAGAGACGGGACGGGAAGCTGGGGCTCCACTCCCGCAAGGACGGCAGCCGCGGGCGCCCCCGCAGAGGTCGCAGGAGGACAGCTGCGCTCCGGAGTTGTAACTTCTCACCGCGTGTCTCCCTGTTCAAAGAGGCAGATGTTTATACAGATCCCTTGTTTAGAAACTTGGACTCTGCCAAAACTGAAAAGCATTTCAGTGCACTTCTCTGTGTTTTCCATTCTTTGCATCATTTTATTTTCCTTTACAAGAAATAACAGAAACACTCAAATTGGTCCAAACTGCTAACCAAAACCAAGAGAGAAACAAGGCTTCCGGTCCAATCTCTCCACCCCCAGCCGCTGGCCAGAGCCGAGAGCAGGAAATAGACCCCAGGCACAGCCTGCACGCACCCCAACCTGACTCTTTCTGGAACACGAAGGATTTTAACTGAGGACTGTTTGACCTGGAGAGTTTATTCAAGGGTGACGTTTTCTATGCATTCAAACAAAGACCTAATAATCATTTACAACTACTGAAAAGAGATACTTAGCAGGGGCTTCATTTAAAAATACAGAAATACAAAGAGAGATCTGGATGTTGTGCCTTGTTTCATTATTTTAAAACACTGAGCACAGACTGTCTCAAAACTATGTAACTTGGGTAAATTTTATAGTACAGGCTAATAATTTTTTTAAACTATATAAAGCACCTACAACATTATAGACTTACTATAAAACACAAATGATTTTTGTTTTTACAGTTTTTAAAAACACATCCCATATCCAAGTTTCTTCATGATGTTTCATCAATTTTTAGTATTATAAATGTCTTTTAATTTTAGGATTTTCAAAAATGGATTGGGAGGTTTTTATTATTCTGACCTTCCCTGTGTTTTCATTTTAAAATATCCCCCTCATGAACTGCTTTCCACCAAAACTAATAATAATATAATAACATCAACTGCATCTTTTTTGTTTCTTAAATATTCAAAATGTTCTCCAGGCCCCTAAGAAACATCAGTTGGAGAATTCTGCAACTGAGTTAAACAGCTGAGTTGGGTAATGAGGTATTCATTACCTTTGAAAAAATACAAAAAAAACTCTCTCCAGGGCATCCGGTCCTTCCACCAGAAAAGAAGTGCTGTGTCTGTGTTTCCCCAAAACGTCCGGCAAGAGCCTGGGTGAAGGCTCACCCCATTCCCAAGAGGGGGCCAGAGGGGGAGGAGCTGGCTTTTCAACTTAGAAGGAAAGAGAACTGGTGCTACACCCTAGTCTTCCATGAACTCTATCAAACACTACCCGCAGTGGGAACGAGTTCATTTTATTTTAAAGTGCAGTTATCTACAACCACCTAAGCATGAAAATGTCCACGATTCTCGTGCATCCTGATGGTTCAGAGCCACCAGGACCGCTTACTCAGGATAAGACCAGCCAGTTACAGAGATCACACACTCACAGAAAGTCACTCTGCAACTGAACGTAGGTTAGTCCTGACTCACTTGAGTGATCTCCAAACCAGATCTCTACTGTCACATCCTAATTGCTAACATTTTATAAAGTAAAAAGTTACCAGTAAAATCAAAAAAGCTCATTATTTGCCAAACAGACTATATGTTTTTGATATACCCCCACACACAAAAACCTGATGTAATGTATAATTTTAGCAAAACAACAGACTCCCTCCCAGGAAACAGCTGGACTCATCTGGGGCTTTTAGGCTGCAGGAGCTATCCAAGCTCCCTTCTCCTGTCTTAAAACAGGAAACACGAAATGGATGCTTGGAATAGATGCAAAACCTTGGAAACAACATACCTGGACCTTCTATGTCAGTCTTTCTTTGTAAAGTTTATAATTGTTGAGTTAAAAACCGAAAACATAAGCAAAAACATCACTTTATAATGTTCACATGCTAAATGCTATCGTGTGACATTTGTAAATTGTAAGTTTTCCTCATTTAGATGGAAAGCTCACCTGCTCCCGGACCTTTCCTACTCCCCCTAACAATCCCCCAACCCCAGGAAGCCTATCCAGTAGGAATCACTCCGAATAAATGAATGAATAAGTGAATGAATGCCTGGCTTAACTTCTAAAGTACAGAAGAGCTCGGAATACACTTACTTGGTTCATAATAGTCCACTATGGACACTGAAGCATCTTGTGTATTTGAAACTTTGAAGTCTCTCACAGCAGGAATATCAACACAAAAATGGGTTTTATTTACCTTGAAAAATACAAAAGGGGGTGGTAGACTCTGTGTTCATGACAAAGCAAGAGACATTTCTTTCTCTTATCATTTTAGGTAACAGAAAGAAACTAACTTTTAGGGAGGACTTCCATGTGCCCAGTACTATGATAATCACTTTATGTAAATTATCTCATTTAACTCATGCAACAAGCCTAACAAGACAGGTCTTCTTACCTCCCTCCACCTGACAGGGGCTCTGAGAACTGGAGCAGACCTGTAAGGGGCAAGCACAGGACCCGTGCTCCAGCCCCTGTACCTTGCCCAGACCTGTGTTAGGCAGGGCACGGCCCCAGCACCCCTTCTCCGGAGAACTGCCCTCAGCTCATGGGAGCTACTCCCCAGGGTGGGGGGTAACCCCAGGGTGGAGGGTGAACCCCACATCAGTAACTGATTGATACGGGGAACAAAAGGCCAGCCTCCTTGCCTCCAAGGGGCAGCTTATGTCAACTGGGCAAACAGTGCTGGTCAAGGAATCTGAAATTGATAAATTCCTTCAAACATTCCATTATTGCCAACAGCCATCAAAGAAAAGTCAAATTAATCAGTCAAAACCTACTGTACACTCATTACGATAACCATTAAGATATCAGAGATACAGGACAAACCCCAAAATCAATGACATTATTAAATAGAAAACTTAAATTTGTTTCTCAAGTTCCAAAGCAAACACGCAGCTTTCCAGCAATATTTGATACCTGAAAATTCCTGAACAGAAGAAAAAAGACCTAGAGGCTCTAAATTAGCTTTAACAATTCTAGCCAGAGAGTTTCCCTAAAAGAAATGAGACTGTTCAGGAACTAGCTTTTTTGAAGGATATCTATTGCCAGAGAATGCATTTCTGATTCTTACATGGCAAAACTGGAATAAGAAACACAGCATCCCCCTCATGTGACGTGAGAGCCAAAGAACACTTAGGATTCAACCTCAGCTCAACCCCAAGTTCCACATAGATGTTAAAGAAAAGAATAAATTACACACCAGCAGTTTTGAGACATAACAAGTCTTTAATTCTTCCTCACTTAATGTTCCTCTTGCATATTTTATGTCCTTATTCTCAGATCAGTAATTTTCATATGGGAATGGGAAAAGTATATGAAAGTTACATAACAATTCTGTGCAAAGACCAAGCCTCTGAGAATATTCTATGATTTATGCACCTACCTTTTCAAAGCAGGAATACTAACCCCTCTGGAATTTATGAAAAGCCTCATGAAAGCATTTTAAAACTTGCGATTAAAGCTTTCATCCTAGGCATTCAAAGAAATATACTTTTTTTATATAACTTTTTACTTTATTTTATAAAACTCCCTGAGACAGAGGGGTTCTCAAGTAGAGATCAGGACTGAATTTTCGAAATTATGATCTGACAGTTTCTATATATTCATTATCATTTTTATGGGCTTTCGTCAGGTTCCTCATGAATAGTAATTCCCTTTAAACTAATTTGATAATGTCTTTTTAGCAGGGAAATATATACAGTTGCCACATTAAAGTCACCCAGGGACACAGAAAGCTAAACACGCGTAAAATAAGGTAGACTTCTGAACGCAATGGACACTAGCTTTGTCACTATACAAAACTTACGTTTTCCTACTTACAGAATCTAAATACAGGTTGAGTTTTCCATGATCGTGTTCCACTTTCTTCACTGTCTCGCTCAGAGGAATTGCGCCTGAGGGCACAGTAAAGCCACTGAGGAGATGAACTTCCATAAGGGCCATGCCACTTCTAGCTGGACCCAAATACCTAAGTCAAAGAGGCAAGGATGGAAGAAAATTCCCTTTAGGAAAAAGCTAAAGCTGTTGGCAAACTATCTTAAACTACGTAAAAACTAAAACTGCCAAGTGGCACTACAAGTATATACTGGAAAGTCATAGAACAGGCGATCCTTTCCTCACAGGTGTGAAAGTCTTGTGACTTGCAACATCGGAGGAAGGACAATATAACTGTGTCCCTTCAATGTGAATCGCCTGCTGAATAATAGGCTGGAGCCTGTGGCTTGTAACAAGGACGACCAGATGCCCCTGAGCAGACAACCCTGTTTTCTAGCTGGTGATTCCAAACGGAATTGCATTTTTCACTTTCTCAAAAGCTGACAGCACGAAGCATTCCAGCTGAATACCAGGGACTAGAGAGGAGGCACCCTTCAACCCCTTCGCGGTGGATGGGAGCCGAGCCTGGAGCATCGTTGGCTTCGTCTGCTTTTAGAAAAGGAAGACCAGCAGGGAGAGTCCTTTCCTTTGTTCTCCCACATACTTGGGGCACATGTTGTGTTTTCAGTGGCCACCTGGAGAGAATTACAAGCCTTGGAAAGTCTGATTACACTGCATCACTCTCTCACCCCGTCGTACACAATGTGAGCGTCCAAGGATCTGCACACCAGCTGCATTTTTTCTCCTTTAAAAGAAGTATTTTTCTGAAATGAATAGGTGGCAGGAGCTCTCGGCTTGGAGCAGAAAGAGCCCAGCTCGGTTATGGAAAAGAGTTTATCTCCAGCATAAAAGGGTCATAATATTAAGCTGGTTCCATCAGTTCCTGCTTGCAGATGGCAAAGGCCAGCAGGCAGAGAAGCTCGCTTTTTAGAGCTGCAAACCAATGCCCGCTGAGCATGTCTGCCTGAGAAGCCACACGGTGCAACAGCCATGGCAGCTGGTGCAGCAATGCCAGCAGCTGACACCTGCTGGGTGGGGCACTTGCCCAAAGAGGTGCTACTGGGCATCTGCCTGGAGGTGTGTGTGGGTGAGCAAAACTACAGAGGAGGAAACAGCCGCTCTGCTTAAATGATGCCCGTCAGCACACCACCGGAAGCGCCTGCACTCACTCAGGCAGAATTTGTGAAATTACCGCCCCACACGGAAACTTTGTCTGACGTGAGTAGGGCACAGACCCTACTGGTGGGAATAAAGCTCCTAAAATAAAAAGCCCAGTTACTCTAGTTAAAAGCACTTAAAAATTCACTTAGAGTATTATTTGTATTTCCTTTCATATTTTCCTCAGAAAACTAGTAGCAGCATCTAAATCCTTTTCACTGTGATCCTCACCCTCACATGAAAACAGTTCCCAGTCCTCCAAAAAGGAAAATAACAGTATGCAGTTCTACCTATATCCTCGATCTGTCAGTCACTGGCCAGCAGAGTCCTGGGCCGGCCTGAGACTTGGAACCCTGCACCCTTACATGAGCCCCTATAAATAATCAGGCCCCGTCATGGGCTGACTCCTAATTTTACCTCATTTTCCTCCTCTGTTTCTTCACATGACCTCTGAAAGGGGTAAAACCTCTCTCATAGGGCCATAAAATTCTTTTCTTCGCCCTTTTCAAAACGAAACCTGCTTGGGGGATTTACCTTACTAATCTCTGTTCCCCTTCCAAACAATATGTTCCACGAAGACAGCGCCTGCATCTTTCTGGTTCACCACTGTATTCCAACCCCTGGCACGTATGCACACTCAGCCAGCATTTACTGAGCAAAGGAATGACTGACTGAAGGGCTGGAAAAGCGGGCGTGACGACAGCACCTACTTTATAGCTACTGAGAGGATTCGGCCAGATGCACGTCAGAGCGCTGGGGCTATGCCTGGCGTGTAAGCTTGTGACAAATGCAGATTGTTACTGTTTACAACAGTAGCTCAGTGTTGTTATTCTGCAACAGAACCCATTTACAAGCTTGTAATTACAAGAATAACAGGAGCCCCAGTTTCTTCTCAGCTGGGAAGGAAGCCACCACAAAGACTGATCTCTCACTACTCGTCCAAATGCCCAATAAGGGGAGAAATGGGGCGAATCCAGGCGACACCTTACACCAAAATCATGAACACAAGACCCAAAGACAGGACAGATGGTGGGAGCAGCAGAATTTACTACTATCTACATATGGCTGTGTATTACTCTATTTTATATGGTAGCAGTAATTAAATGTACATATAATGAAATCTTCAAGTCTTTTTTTAAAGGAGAAAGAGGAAGAGGAGGGACTTAATTTAGAGAAACCAACCTCGTGCACACATTCAAATTCAAGCGATTGACATCATCCTTATTTTCTTTTACAGAAACATCTAAATCAAAGGCTTCTTGGTTTTCAATAGATTTTCGTCTTCTAGAAGACCTTGACTCTTTCACATTATAGACAACATTAAGCTGCAAGAAATGACAAATTAGCATAAATAAGAAATTAGCAATAAACTGCCATCATTACATATTAGGCAGTGATTCTCTTTGGGACAAATCCAAGTAGATTTGCAATCTTCTACCTAGGAAAAAAATCAGTTTTACCAGCTAACAAAGTATCAGTATTAATAAATATTGTTACAGATGTTTATAAGCAACAATTTTTTGAATTGAGAAAACTGGCTGGTAATATTCCAAAACAGGTATCAGAGACCACTGTAGATGATATTCACAGGTATCGTTTCTTCAAAGAATGTAAAACATTCCTTTGAGGGAAGAAGTGGAACTATTGCCAACCTTCTTGATGCAACTTTATTGCATCTGCTGCCCGACCAGAGTCATTTATCACAAACTGGAACCTTAGAAACTCTCAGTACGATAAATCAAAACTGAAACATCTAAGAGCCTTGGCTGAACAGAAACCTGGCTAACTCCTGGCATTTCTTTTTGCTCACACAATGTTTTTCAAAGATGACGAGATAAATGATGGATTTCAGACAGCAGGGCTTTTTCAGTGTATACACTGCGTCCACCACGACATGCGAGCTGCTACTGAGACACAGGGAGTCTGAGGACCGAGTGTTTTTCTCCAAGGTATCCTGAGATCAGAAGCTGGGGAATGAACTCAAACTTTCCGAGGCCTGCCTCATGCTAAACTGAACTGGAATCTGTTTCAATTTTGTACATCTTCCCTTTTTTTTGATACCAAGATTTATAAGCCTTACTATTGCTATGTAATGTTGTCAATTTTCCTTTACTTACACTTAAATCACATACACATACATGCCTCAGAACTAAACATCTCGTACCCTTTATGGATTTGTATACTTAAAAAAAAATCCCTCTAAGCCTTCATCTTTCAAACATTAAGAGCTCTGACTTTTTATCCTGCCACCCTAGCTCACAGAATCCTTCCCCTCTTTGACCATACTGGAGATCCTCCAACTCCTTCTAAAGTACAATCAAAATTACAGTGTTCCTGGAGCAGCTGAAGACCGGTTTCACAGAGTTGGAAAGACGGTCTGTGTTACTTTCACTGTCTTTCCAATGGCAGGTAACTGCTCACTCAGAGGGCTTCGAGAGATCTGGTAGTTGATTTCCAACAGCTCAGCATTTTATCACCCAAAACAGGTTAACATTTACCAAAACCTGAGAGTTTTCTTCACCCTCCTTTTTCCAGATCACTTACCAAAAAATCAACTAAAGGAAATCTCAATCCCTATTCCTGAGTGTCCAGCTTTTGGGCCACTTTTTCTCCATCACGAGACATGCCTATTGGTCCCCACCTTCTGTTACCTGCTTGTTGATATGGGCAAAGGACTGGCCAACAGGCCAACCAGAAGGCACCACATTTACTGCTGGGTCCTCGGTGCTTCATATAAAAATCACTTGGGTTTATCTTTTTTAATCTACATTTGGATTATCGAGAATGAGTTCCATCCAATTTGGTGATTGAGGTATATGTAATTTTTCAACTGTATCTAAAATATCCTGTGTATTTACTTTTGGATTTACTGTTTGCACTGGAAGAGGACTGGGGAGTGGGAATTTTTGCATGGTCTTTTTTAGTAAAGACCATTACAACTTGTTCCCTCTTTTCTTTCCATCATTTTCATTGAATGCCATTCTTTTTAACTCTGATCATTTTTCCTTAAGTTTTTTAAAAGCATTTAAATGACGTTTTAAATATCATACAAAATAATCTTAGAATGATTTGGATGTTTCCAAGTCACACCTGACCCTCTACTTCACCAGTGTAACTTTTCTCTGAACTAAAACAGTTATTCTGTTTTTGTAAAAAGTACCTTTCCTTTATAACAGCCATTTTTTTTACTTTCTCAGTAAACTTTTCAGGACTTGTTGTGTTTGTTTTTCCTAACCAAGCACATCACCATCTTTTGTCCTAATACATATTATTTTGCATTTCCAATAAGATGATTTTAAGTCTCTATGATTTTCATGTATTATTTAGTATATAAATATTCAATTCAGTCTTTATCTACTACTTCCATTTTATTCTAACCCTATTCTAGAATAGATCTCTTTGGATTTTCTTCCTGTGCCAGAGCATTGAATATATCATGCTTTAATTGTTTTATTTATTATTATGTAAGATTTCACATGAAAGGGACACATTTCCTAGCTTCAGGTCAACTGCCTGTAATGCCATGTTGACCTTTATATTGTTAGGTGAATATTAAGAAGTTGTAACCAAAATGTGTGTTTCTTTACCAAGTCATAGTAGAAATTCTACCAGCATTACAACTGCCAAGCTGTATTTTCACAAAACAGATGGATTTCCCAACAGTTCACATGAATCATATTGGAGGATTTTAATCCTCACTTCAAAAACATATAATACTCAAGAAATATTTTTCCAATATATTCTCAGTCCATGTAGTTGTGTCTACTCACTAGCTAGTGACATCTCACGTCCTTTTCATTAAAGAAAGCGATTTATCTTGCCTAAGTCAGAGAAATAAATCATTAAGAATTTTACATGTCATGTAAGTTAAAGATTTAGCAGAACCCCAAACCAAGTAATTATTATAACAAGTCACATTTAACTAAACAAAAATAATTGTCACATACCTGACAAATGGCGAATCCAAAACCATTTGCGGAAATATTAACTTCAGTTGGTTGTACCACCTCAAGCTGAATAAAGGTGAGAAAAAGGTGAATAAGGAGAATTTTCCGTATCTAGGTCCTCCCATCTACACATGGGATCGGTGTCGTCCCCCATTAGGGCTGGAGGTGACCTGGAAGCTCCGGGAACTCGTGGCCGCACGTGTCAAACACCGTGGGTCCCCAGGTCAGGCCTGGGCCCGAGGGGCCCCTCCGCGCAGTGCACAGCTCTGCCCTCCGCGGGGACCGGAGCAGGGGGGACGGGGCCGGGGCCAGCCCCCTCCTCCAACCTCCCACGCCTGGCGCCCAGTCCCCGGCCTCCCGAGAACACAAAGGCCCGTGGCCACCGCCTGTGACCAAGCCGTCCCTTCTCTTCCCTCCGCCATCACCCTCTCCCTCAGCTTCCAGCCTTGAGGTCATCGCTTCCGTCCATCACCTTCAATTTCCCAACAGATTAACTGGGGAAACAAAGTCAGGGTCTAGCACAGCCCTTCACCCACTCTAAGGCGAGAGTTCTATCCCTGCTCCTATCGATTCTCCTACGGAAAACACGCGGCGCAGCTGAAAAGAACCTGGTCTCTGGAGCCACGGGTTCAAACCCTGCCTCTCCAGCGCGTAGTGGTAACAGGACCTCGGATGAGTCACTTGGCCTCCCTCAGCCTCGTTTTATCAAGGGTACTGTGGGGATAAAAGTACCCACTTCTTGGCGTTGGTTTACAAAGTAAACGCAAAGCACATGTGGAAAGCCTGGCACAGCGCCGGTGAGGACAGGGCTCAGCGGGGCCCACTCCTCCGCCCGCGGGGTGTGCCCGGGGTGCCTCCTTCTCTGCACCTCCCGGGGTCTCCCCTCTGACCCCCTCTCCAGCTCAGCACGTCCACCAAGCAAGGCGCCCCTCCGCCCGCCTCTCCCCAGGGTCCTGGGAACGGCCCTGGCAGAGGGCAGCAGGATGGGAAGAAGGCAGTATTTCCAGCGCGAGGGCTCCGCCACCCAGAACCTGAGAGAACCACGCCCTCGTCCACACCTCTGCCGTCCGGAGGAGAAAGCGGTTCTGCGCGTCAATCAGAAACTTCACAGGCCTCGGCGAGCTGGGCCCCGTCACGGTCACGTGCACATCTGTCCTCTCCGTGTTCATGAGGGCTGCGAATTCAGACAGGGCCTTCAAGGCCACAACGGTGTCCTGTCGAGGAAAGAACGGTTGTGCATCTAAGTACCTACCAAGGTCTCCAGACAGTAAATTTAGCAAAGTTTAGGAGACCCCCCTATATGCTCATCCACTTCCTGGAGAGTGAAATGCCCCTTTATTCGTCTGTAAATGTCCTTGACCCAGAGGACAGGAGACGCTCGGAAAATACCTGCTGAATGGAACCGGGAATCTACTGTATCCACTACCACAGACGAAAAATGGTTAAAATAGACAGGCAACCAACTTAGTCCGTATAATGGCAGATAGAACATTTATCAAGGACAAGAAAAAGTTAAAATCAGTAACTTAAACCTCTGACCTAAGTCACTAAACTTTTAAACTGTCAAGCAATTTTATGAAGTCATGAAAAAAAAATTACCACATACTTCGTAACACACCCACACGTATATACAGCTGAAAAAAACTAAAGCCTGTTGCCACCCACCTGAGTAGATGCAAAGCCTCCCAAGCTGTTTCTTTGCCTGCTTAGCCACCTCATAATCGGAATCCCCTCTGAAACCTGGAACTGCAGCAAGTGTGAGAGCAGAGCATAGGCTGCGACTTCAATATCCAGGGAGCGTGGCTGCCAGGAGTCGGAGAGCTGGGGCACTGGTGACACCCAGAACTGCATGCCTCCTGCAAGAGAAAAATAGTAACAGTCTGACCAATTACATAAAAGTCACATTTTATACCACTGAATACACCTCTTACACTGGTCCAAGTTCACTTGACTAGAATAAAAACATATGTATTTCTATACATGTGTAGATTTATGCCAAATATATGTGTATTCATACACACACACACACACACACACACATACAGAGATCACTTTTTCAACTTGTACAATTTAGAAACTTTTATTCCTTTCCTACTGCATATATTTGAGAATGTTTTGATGAAAACAATATCCCAAGAGAAATTCCATATGTTTAGTTCAAGACTAAGCAGCTATAAAGAAAGGCATACTATATTCCAGAAGATACTGTACATAATATTTCTGACCAGGCCATCCCCAAAGTATTTTAGGGCGCACTGGAAAGAACCCTGTCCCGGGAATCTGCCACTAATGAGCCTAATATTCTGGGAAACCTCTCCTTTTTTTCATTATCTGAAGGCTGGTGTTATAAGTTCAAACTCCAAGCCCCCAAGAAAAAACGAGGGACCCTGGCCAACTCAACAGTCTTCCTAAAGACGTTCCCAGGGCTCCCAGAGCAGCATCCGGCGTGGTGAGAACACAACAGCAAATATTATTACTTAGATGATGATTACGCTTAAGTGGGACATGAAGTCACTACCACACAGCCACGCAGAGAAGAAATGTCAAGGGCTACTCCGGCTTCTATGCGACAGTCATCTAGGCCCCAGCACTGCAACAAGTAATAAGGACTCAATATTTATTACTGCTAATAATAATACACTACTTTTTTTATAGTCTTAGAAGTCCCTAGGCACTTTCCACAGCTCTCCCTTCTTGAATTAACAGAGCTCTGAATCAGTGGACATGATCTGAAATTATTTCTGCCCACCCATCCCCCGCTGCCCTCTCTCTCTCTCTCACACTCACACACACACACACAGACACACACACCGGATCCCGGACTATAGGGGTCACTTGGGATGTACCAACATCTAGACTTTTTGTCCTGTTGAGGCCCATTCACACACAATCATACTCACAGCTCACTGACGGCATTTTTTAGCATTTGCATTTCTATTCACTAGGATTTTAGTTTCCGTGCTGAACACTTGCTATGTAGCAGGCACTGCACATGATCCCACTTAATCCTACAGCAACCCTAAAATAGGGGTCATGACCATTTTACAGCTGGGGGAAGTGAGGCTCATAAAGGTAAGTAGTAGAACCAGCATCTGAACCCAAGTCTCTCCACAGCCCAAGGTCTTGACCACCTAACCAGAGTGGCATCTAACTGACACATGGCAGAACATACCCAAAAGAGAAATACCCAAGCCCCAAAATTCCCTAGAAAACTGTAGGGAAGAGGAGACCCTGCAGTATGACCACGTCACAGCCATCTGATCTCTTTTGGGTTTTATTTTTCATCCTATTCAGAAGACATCAATGTAATCAACTTCATATCTGCCTTACAAAACCTTCTCACATAGTTCATGCACTTCCTAACGCACACGGCGCGACGCTCTCAGGCGGTTCCCGGGCATCACCTTCTCGTTTTGTTCTCCGAGTCAGCGCACTCAAAGCTTCCTTGGCTACAGGGCTTCCCACGGACGACAGCGCGTAAGTTACAAGGGCTAGAGTATAATTGTCTGAAATTCCTCTACTGAATTCAGACTCCAAAAAGTTGACAGACTCTTGCACATCAATATTAGGCTTGAAAGGAAAAAAATACATATTTTACTCTTCAAAAGAACACATTACCGTTAAACAAAAAGTGTTTTCAAACATTCGTTCAAAAAATAATTTCAGCATCTATTCAGCACCTGACTTTGTCCTACACAGCAGGAACCAAGGGTGACCATTGATTCGCATGTGAGAGAAACACTGCTTTTCAGTTTTTATGAGTAAGTAGGCACCATTCCTTAGAGGGAATAAAAAATAAATAACCTTTGGCCAGTGTTTCTCCCATTCACTGTCATGAACTCAGATGAGAACATAAAATACAGCTTGAGAAATATATTTCTCATAGTTTATCTCAGGTGTTGAAGCTCTAAATTCAGGAGAAAGTTTATCTTCTACATGCCTTATTTAGGGCTGGAAAATAGTAGGAGCCTAATATAATGAATGGCTGTTTTGATCATGTGAAATGCAACTGGCACTAGGCAGTGAAGGCAACAATGGCTGAGACGGCTCTGGAGCAAAGTCAAGCTCATTAGCATGGCTTTGCAGGCATACCCCCCTCATGCAGGCATCCATGCCCACTTAACACACTTCTGAGAGTGCGGATGTACTTTATACCAAATTAGCAGACATTGCAATTGCTCGGTGATATTTTAGAATTTTAAAAACCCTTCACCATCTAAATTTGCTAGACTGTATTCCCAAATTCCGAAGCATTTTCTATCCCCTAAGAAATCAACCTTTCCAATGACAAAATATCTATTGACTATCTTACCAACAGCAAATACAATTTATATTAGAAAGCATTTCGGAATTCTCTTAGTTGCTTGGAAAGAGTGGGTTCATATTTTTATTCTCAGATTTTGAAATGTGGCCACAAATGCAAAGCAAAAAAGGTGACCAAATTCACTCTTCTTATGTGATATAAAAGCGCAAAACTCTTAAAGCTTCCAGACATATATCTGGCCCATCAAGACCTACTTACCTTGTTTCCCACCCATCATTTATTTAATTAAAGATTAAATACCTGATACTTTTTATATCCCAGGAGAGAAGTCACAATATAAGCTGTAAGCGTCACTGGACTTTCCTGGCCACCTTGAAGCTCCCTGTGAATCACTCTTCCTGGCTCCCAGAATCCACCATTGGACTTCTGATGCCCTTGGAGCCACATGTACGTTCTCTGCAACACATTCTGATCGATATCTATGTAAGGATCAGCCTCAAGGAAGCATCTTAAAACAAAAGCTGACAACCTTGGTGAAAAGAGGGGGGAAATCACATCAAATACACTTTATAGAGTCTTCCAAACAACACTGAGCAAGAAAAATACCAACAATAACAACACTTTTCTTCCCGTAGGAGATTCACCAGAACGGGAACCACTGAAGAAGGAACAAAGGGGAGAAAGGCCACAGGGACAGCCGCCGCGTGAGCGTGGCTGCAGAACTCCAGGGCAGCTCACAAAGTATCGGATTTGGAAAGGAACTTGTAGCTCAACGAATCCAGCCTCATTATTTTATAGAGTGAGAATTCAGCCTTCTAGCAGGCTTAAATTAACTGCCCGAGGTCATTCACCCTGGACTGTTGTGTATTTACCAAGGAAGGTGTCATCACACACTTCTCTTGGCCCTAAAGCTGTGCGTGGAGCATACAGAGTTCGCAGTCAGCCTGCAGCTCTTCCAGTTAAAGGAAGTGGGTATTTTCTCTCCTGTAAGACAGGAGTCAGCAACTCACAGCCTGGGGCCAAGTCCGTCTATGTGTGCCTCTCCCCATCACCCTCCACCAAAGAATACATTTTAAAGGGAAAAAGAGAGGAAGGGGTGGGGGCAGAGAGGGGAGAATATGCAGCAGAGATGGCAGCCCCTGACCTATTACTGCCTGTCTGCCAACCCCGCTTCAGAACCCCGTGTGTGAACGTGCAGAGGGTGTCAGCAATAACACACTGAGGCCTTCTGTCTGCAGACCTACACCCTGACTCATGCCAGAAGAAAAGCTGAAGCATGTATGTTTCACCCTAGAAAGGGCTTACTGGGGCAAATATTATGAACATTCAGTAATATCCAGTTCTCTTTTGAGTATGCAGACGAATTCACTTCTGGGCCCCCTTGAAGTGAAGCACAGCCATGTGGCCGCCTCTGAAAATGATGAAAGGAAAAGAAATGGCACCCCAGGCTTAAGCACCTAATTGCCAGTGCCGGATATGCCAGCCTTCTCTTCCCGAGCTGCCGGGAGGCTCTGGGTGAAGTGGTGAGAAAACAGCCGTGGGTGCATCCACAGGGAAATGCCCTGTGAGCAGGGGAGAAGCCTTTGTTGTTAAGCTACTGAGATTTGAGAGGGCTGTTTCTACAGCACAACTTGACTGACCCTACTGACAGTTATCCCATCTTTTTCTGAGTGCAATACAGAATTGAAGGTAATGCAAGAGAGAAATAATTTTACAAAATCAGCCACACAGAGATCCCATTCTGGAGGAATCTGCATGTTTATTACTTAATTCCGTCACTGTTTTTCACAAAAAAAATAACCTTAAAGAAGCTATATTGACTGTATTAGCACGAAATTCATGCTGATCATGTCCGATCAAAAAAAGAACCATGTCACAATCTCCTGGTATTTCTAAGCTATTTTCCTGGTCCGCTGTGCCATCTTCATGAAGTATTTTTACATCTGCTTTGCCCTCCAAAAATAAGAGGACTTATGACTTTCCTAAATAAGAACATTTGATTTGTTGCTGTTTTAAAACCATATTTAAAAGGAGAATCTCTTTCACAGCAGGCTATGGGAAAAGCGACCTCCGAGCCTATTTGCAGAGAGACACATCTGTCAGTCTCATGCCTTGTGATGCTGGGAGAGCGTATCCCAGGACACGGATTTGTTCTGCTGACAGAACACTTACCAAGTGCTCCCAGAAGGGTCGTCGTTGCCAAAAGCACTGAAGGAGCCGTCCGCCCTCTGATAAAGAAGCTCCCTCTGGTAACCTGAATGCCCCAGAACAGAAAGTCAGTGTGACCAGCTAACGTGAGTGAGCGTTTCTAGGCACAGCTTCCTACTGAGGGAACACGGGCAGAGGACGGGAAACAAGACGTCAGATCAGCAACTGATAATGAATATGTCTATATGAAGTGCTGTGGGGAATTTAAAATATCAAGGCTTTTCAAGCAGAATGTGTAAAGTGAGAACTGTGACAGTCCCAGATTAAACTCAGAAGAATCTACCACACAGGCAGCCGAGGCCAGCCATTCACAAGCCAGCAAATTCAAGACCAACTTCTATTTAACTCTGTAGAGTTGGCTCAGTGGTTTCAAGGCTTAGTCATCCAAGACAGTTTGCTACAGAAGAAAAGTACTACCTAGAGTATCATAATTAAAGTTTAAGACTAAAACAGAAAACATCTCTACGTCCTATTTTAAGGTCCGCAACAGAGGAGGGCAAGTTGCTAAATAATCCAAAACAGTGGCTCTGAGCTCTTTGGCCCTGGCCAACATGAGGCGAACCAGACCCGCTGGTCTGCCCACCCCCTCAACAACAAGTTCCCAAAACAAAAAAGATCCTGGGTAGTAAGTCTCACTGTAGAAGTAAGTTGGGGAGGGGGCTCAGGCTCCCTGACCTGCCTTAACAAAAACAGCCATTTCATATTTGCAAGTAAATGATTGCAAAGAAGACGCAGACGTTTCATATTTGCAAAGCAGTGCACGCATGCAGGTCTCAGGCCAGTGACCGGGAAGTCCTAGGCCAAACTCTGACAGAGACACCAGGCGATCCACGACAAAGGCACTTGCCAAACGTGAAATTAAATGGCAATAATTCAGCCTTAAAAAGCAAGCAGAAGCAGAAGCCAGGAAGAGTCCCAACACAAGCATTATCAGTGACTCTCAGATAACCAAGCCCCCTTCCTGAAAATCCCAGGATCTGCTCCAGACAGACGAGGGGGGACACACAGGGAGCCTGGCAGCAGGCCCTGCAGAGCCTGGAAACCGTAGACATGGAACATGTTGATTTCAGTCCCTAGTCAACTCTAGTAACAGAAGTATTTACTTTAGAACACCACGTTTTAAAAGCAGCAGTAACGCTAAGTATTCACATTTGACTAACAAAACATGAGCATCAATGGTTTAGAATTAATTAATCTGCTCTTGCCATATCCCAGACTTTTCTCCTTGAACCTTTCCACAAGAATCACCAAATCTGAATATATGGCTTAAGCTCCAATAAGGCAATGCACATGAAAAACAAGACACTGTTCATGGTGCCCTTTAAGGCCTGTGGTAAAAGAGACATAAACAACATTTAAGTGGTGACAGAATGTTGCTTAATTTAAAGAATGGGGTTATAATCATTACACTTAAAACTGAAATATTACGGTTGCACAATAAACTAGCCTTTATCCAATATTGACTATGTGTCAGGAATTGTTCAAAGCCCTTTTCAGGTGTTAAATCAGGAAATTATCACAATGACTCTACGACAAAGATGCTGTTATTCCCACTTAGAGATGATGAAACCAGAACCCAGAATACAACAAGCGCAAGGCCACACAGCTAGCAGGTGTTGAAGGCAGGAATTAGCCAAGGTCTATCCATCTCCAAAGCTGCTGTTTCCTGTAATTCACGGAGGCCCAAAGTCAGTAGAAGAAGGGACATAATACAAATCAGAGCAGAAATAAATAAAATCAAGAAGAATAAAACAATAGAAAGAATCAATGAAACCAGGAGCTGGCTCTTCAAGAAAACAAGCAAAATAGATAAACCCCTAATGAGACTTATCAAGAAAAAAAGAGAGTGTACACACATAAACAGAATCAGAAATGAGAAAGAAAAATCGCTACAGACACCATAGAAACAAAAAGAATTACTAGAGAATACTATGAAAAACTATATGCTTACAAACTGGATGACCTAGAAGAAATAGACAACTTTCTAGAAAAATACAACCTTCCGAGACTGACCCAGCAAGAAACAGAAAATCTAAACAGACCAATTACCAGCAATGAAATTGAATTGGTAATCAAAAAACTACCTAAGAAAAAAACCTCTGGACCAGATGGCTTAACTGCTGAATTTTATCAAACATTTAGTGAAGACCTAATACCCATCCTCCTTAAAGTTTTCCAAAAAGTAGAAGAGAAGGGAATACTTCCAAACTCATTCTGTGAGGCCAGCATCACTCTAATACCAAAACCAGGCAAAGACATCACAAAAAAAGAAAATTATAGACCAATATCCCTAATGAACACAGATGTAAAAATACTCCATGAAATATTAGCAAACCAAATTCAAAAATACATCAAAAAGATCATCCATCATGATCAAGTAGGATTTATTCCAGGGATGCAAGGATGGTACAATATTTGAAAATCCATCATCATCCACCACATTAACAAAAAGAAGAACAAAAATCACACAATCATCTCCACAGATGCTGAAAAAGCATTTGACAAAATTCAACATCCATTCATGATAAAAATTCTCAACAAAATGGGTATAGAGGGAAAGTACCTCAACATAATAAAGGCCATATATGACAAAACCATGGCCAATATTATACTTAACAGCAAAAAGCTGAAAGCTTTTCCTTTAAGATCGGGAACAAGTCATGGACACACACTCTCGCCACACTGCTTTTCAACATAGTACTGGAGGTCCTCGCCACAGCAACCAGACAACACAAAGAAATAAAAGGCAACCAGATCGGCAAGGAAGTAAACTGTCACTGTTTTTGGATGACATGATATTGTACACAAAAAACCCTAAAGAATCCACCCAAAAACTACTAGAACTAATAACTGAATTTAGCAAAGTTGCAGGATACAAAACTAATACACAGAAATCTGTTGCACTCCTATACACTAATGATGAACTAGAAGAAAGAGAAATCAGGAAAACAACTCAATTTACAATTACATCAGAAAGAATAAAATATGTAGAAATAAACCTAACCAAGAAGGTGAAAGACCTATACCCTGAAAAATACAAGATGCTCTTAAGAGAAATTAAAGAGGACACCAATAAATGGAAATACATCCCATGCTCATGGATAGGAAGAATTAATATTGTCAAAATGGCCATCCTGCCTAAAGCAATCTACAGATTCAATGCAATCCCTATCAAAATACCAACAGCATTCTTCAATGAACTAGAAGAAATAGTTTTAAAATTCATATTGAACCACAGAAGACCTCAAATAGCCAAAGCAATCCTGAGAAGGAAGGATAAAGGTCCCCAACTTCAAGCTCTACTACAAAGCCACAGTAATCAAGACAATTTGGTACTGGCACAAAAACAGACCCATAGATCAATGGAATAGAATAGAGAGCCCAGATATAAACCCAAGCATATATGGTCAACTAATATATGATATAGGAGTCATGAATATACAATGGGGAAAAGACAGCCGCTTCAACAGCTGGTGTGGTCAAAACTGGACAGCTACATGCAAGGGAATGAAACTGGATCACTGTCTAACCCCATACACAAAAGTAAACTCAAAATGGATCAAAGACCTAAATGTAAGTCACAGAACCATAAAACTCTCAGAAGAAAACATAGGTAAAAATCTCTTAAATATAAACATGAGCAACTTTTTCCTGAAGGCATCTTCTTGGGCAAGGGAAACAAAAGCAAAAATGAACAAATGGGACTACATCAAATGAAAAAGCTTCTGTTCAGCAAAGGGCACCATCAGCAGAACAAAAAGGCACCCTACAGTGTGGGAGAATATATTAATAAATGACATACCCGACAAGGGGTTAACATCCAAAGTATATAAAGAACTCACATACCTCAACACCCAAAAAACAAATAACCCAACTAAAAAATGGGTGGAGGATCTGAACAGACACTTCTCCAAAGAAAAAATTCAGATGGCCAACAGGCACATGAAAAGATGCTCCACATCGCTAATTATCAAGGAAATGCAAATTAAAATCACAATGAGATATCACCTCACACCAGATAAGATGGCCAACATCCAAAAGACAAGAAACAACAAATGTTGGTGAGGATGTGGAGAAAGGGTAACCCTCCTACACTGCTGGTGGGAATGTAAACTAGTTCAACCATTGTGGAAAGCAGTATGGAGGTTCCTCAAAAAGCTAAAAATAGCAATACCATTTGACCCAGGAATCCCACTCCTAGGAATTTACCCAAAGAAAATAAGATCCCTGATTCAAGAAGGCCTAAGGCCCCTATGTTTATCACAGCACTATTTACAATAGCCCAGATATGGAAGCAACCTAAGTGTCCATCAGTAGATGAATGGATAAAGGAGAGATGATACATATACACAATGGAATATTATTCAGCCATAAAAAGAAAACAAATCCTACCATTTGCAACAACATGGATGGAGCTAGAGGGTATTATGCTCAGTGATATAAGCCAGGTGGAGAAAGACAAGTGACAAATGACTTCACTGATTTTTGGAGTATAGCAACGAAGCAAAACTGAAGGAGCAAAATAGCAGCAGACTCAGAGACTCCAAGAAGGGACTAGCAGTTACCAAAGGGAAGGGGTGGGGGAGGGAGGGAGAAAGGGATTGAGGGGCATTATGTTTAGTACACATGGTGTGGGGGGGATCAGGGGGAAGACAGTGTAGCACAGAGAAGACAGGTAGTGACTCTGTGGCATCTTACTACAGTGATGGACAGTGACTGCAATGGGGTATGTGGGGGGGGACTTGATAATATGGGTGAATGTAGTAACCACAATGTCTTTCATGTGAACCATTCATAAGAGTGAATATCAATGATACTTTAATAATAAAACAAAAGAAACCACACACCCCTTTGGCCCTCTTGCCAGCACAGCCAGACCTCTGATCCCTTCTCCCCATCCCTTCCCCAGGATTGCTACCCTGGAGGGGATGGAGATCAGAAAATGTGATCAGAATGAATCAGGAGAAGGAACAACAGGGCCAGGTGGACGGAGGAAGGCAGCAGACTCTGCCCGCCCTCGCCTGACTTCAGGCTTCCCACCTGCAGCAGCCTACGCGGGAGGAAGAGAGGTTTAACTGTGAATCAGGACTGAGCATTTAACTATGACATGGGACTAGAAGGCATCTTTGGTTATCCCTAAACGATGAGAAAAATCATGGGAATGGCCTTAAATTTCATTCAAGGGCAAAAAAAGAACTTGCCCCAGAGAATAATAAAAGGAGAGTAGTAGACAAAAATAAAATTGCTTCATGATTTATTCCAAAGCGGTGCTTGTTCAACATAAGAGATACAGCTGAAGCCCAAGAAGAAAGGGAGGGAGGGAGGGTGGGAAGGAAAGAAGGAAAGGGAAGGAAAAACAGAAGGGCAGGAGAGCTGAAAACCACGGTGACTGAGACCTGCAAAAAGCAGAGCAAAATGAAAGTCAAGTAAGAGGAGAAAAAAGATAAGAATATTAGAATATAAGAATTCTAACGTCCAGCTGATGAAGGGTAGCAGAATATGCCTCTGCAAAATAGGCCGCTTTGGCCTAAGGATTATTCTGAGAGAAACGCAATGGAAGCAGCAGATGCAAGGAAAGCTCTCTGCCCTTCCGTTATTTGCTCAGCAATGACATAAATTAGTAAAGATGCCCCCCCCGCCCCTACCACAAAGGATAGCCGTGGATCACCAGGGACACCTGTGCCAGCACCCGATGAATCTGCATAACCAACTGCAAAAACGAGCTTTTGTCTTCCATTCATTTCCCCACATATTTGCCTTCCCTCCATTTGCCACCCCAGAAACTCAGAGTCCTTTTCCTTTGTCTTAGGACTCCTCTAAAAATGTACTGTTCTTTTGATAAGATGCTATCTTACTCAAAGTTGTGCCCATCCCTTTGAGTGACTCATCTCAGAGTGTGCTCGTGTGAATGGTGTGGTACATGTGAATAATTTTTGTTTGTTTTTCTCGTGCTAATTTGTCTTTGTCAGTCTAATTCATAGGCCCCAGCAGAGAATGCCAGAGGATGGGTGGGGAGGCGTTGTTTTTCCTCCCCTACGGCTGCATACTACATATTATACGTCCGGATATACGACGTTCTAGCAAAAGGCAAAACTATGGAGACAATAAAGGCCAAGTGGCTGCCAGGGTCAGGGAGGAGGGAAGGACAAGGAGAGGGGCACAGACCATTTTCAGGACAGCAGCCCTGCTCTGCATGATACTATGATGGTGGACACACGTCATTTCACATTCATCAAAACCCGGAGAATGGACAACACCAAGAGTGAGCAAGTGTGATCAGTGGAGCTTCGGTGATTATGAGGTGTCCGTGCAGGTCCACTCGTTGCAACAAACGTGCCGCTGTTGCGGGGGATGTTGATACTGAGGAGGTCATGCATGTGTGGGGACAGACAGTATGCGGGGTCTGCTCAGTTTTCCTGCGAACCTAAAACTGCTCTAAAAAATAATGTTTACTTTTAAAGAAAAAAGAAATGCTTACCTTGCCTCATAAATGAAAGGGCTTTTTCTTTTAAATTCTCCGTCAATTGTTTCTTTTTAGTCAGGTAATCCAAAACGTAAATATTAGGAGCGAAATTTATCATGTTCTGTTCACCGCAGCCATAAGGCATCTGAATCAGCGTGGCTAAGCCGTGGATGGAAGGGCCGAGAATATCTCCTGAAAGCACAAGGCGGGCAGCATATTCAGCATGTGCCCCGCACCAGCCACACCCGCCGGGGGAGGGAGGCTTGCCCAGAGCAGAGGACGGCTGAAACTGGGGCAGCAGGATTATTCCACGCGCAGGACGGAGGGGAGACTGTACACCCGGCTTCAGGGAGACTGGTCAGACACGTGCTAATACAGGGGTACTGAGCTTGTAGAGTAGGTGACAAAATAGGAGATGTCTAGCTCAGAGATATGACACACACTAAGCAAAACCTAAGTTTAGAAAATTATTCTTGAACAAAAATGCTAGGAGTTGACCTTTAGGAAACTCATTCTTCCATAGGAAAGAAATGTTTTATTATTAGTATTCTTCACCTAAACAGAACTTTATTCTGATTTCTTTCGGATA